TTACTCAAACAATGAAATGACGAAATGCAAACAGCGTGCACATGCATGTAGAATACATTTACAATATGTACAAGAATTCACAGCATTTCTATGCAGTGTGTGTATGTGGTGTTCATGTAAGTGTGCATATGGATATTTTTAGCATTGGCGAACCTGAATGATCTCTTTATCTAGCCGCCATACATCTGTCATTTTCAGCCGCCAAGTTCAAGTTAAGGGAAGTTTCTAAGAAGAGTGATGGCATTAATAATGCTTTGCAGTTTACTAGGCATGTTTAAGAAAGCATTGGAATAAAAATTTGTACAGATCTGCAAGAAAAGCAAGAGCAAGAAATGACTCCGATTATTCTGTTCGAAACGGGTGAACAAAGATAAAACTGCTCGTGCCGCCGGAAAAAGTGACAAGAAGGTAAAAGCCAGTTTGGGGTTGTTGTTTTTTTTTTCTCTTTCAGATCCTTTTAAAGTTGTTGTATATCCATCTAGATAGTGCTGTGTGCCAGCAGCCTGTGCCAGTAGTTTTGGATGGATGACCTGAAGGAAGATGCAGATCAACACTCAGCTACATAGTTTCTGGCTAAAAGTGATGGTTTTAGAGCCTCTGTGTGCCCTTTAGACACTCTTCCCTCTCTTTTGAGAGTGGGCTTGAAGTTTAAACTCATTTTATTCTTTGTTGCCAGGTTCGGCGTGTTGTTTGTGCTGCTTGACTTACTTTGTTTTCCCTCAGCTAATCATCAGCATCCAGAAGACACATTTGCTCTCATATTATGAAAAAGCCCTGTGGAAAAACATTGTTAGTGGAGTAATTTCTGCAGAAAAGAAGCATTAATGCTTGTCCGCAGAGTGAGACATGCTCAGCAATTTCAGCAGCTTCAAGATATAAAAAAAAAAAAAAAATTAGTTTTCCTCTCTAAATGCATTTAAATATGTCTCAAAGTATGGGCGGGGCAAATGAATCCAGCTGTTATTTTGTTTCTCTGTTAATAAGAGCTAAGTCTGGAATTTTTAATAATCAAAAGGTTAATGGAGATATACATTTTACTTATGGTTTTATTCCAAGGGCAGTCAGATCCTCTAATCAGGGGCTCCTAATGCAACCAATGTCTCGACTAAAGACGAAGGGGGATCGTGCCTTTGCTTTTGCTGCACCAAAACTCTGGAACAGCCTGCCGGTTGATGTCCGTGCGTCGGAAACTATTCAATCTTTCAAATCACGGTTAAAAACCCATTTGTTTAAGCTCTCCTTTCAAACTACTTAGCTTAATTTCTTCCTGGTTCGTGCTTGTTGCAATATTACCATCCTATAACTGTATTTCTTTGTTGTTAATTGTTTTCTTTTGCTGTAAACCTGCAAGTATGGCTCGTCTGTGAAGCACTTTGTTGTACCTGTGACTTTTAAATGTGCTATAGAAATAAAATTGAAATTGAAATGTAGAATAGGCTCTTCTTCCACAGGTTTGAACTCTGACACATTGATGCTTTTAATAAGGCAGTTCATGTTCAGGTTTAAGGTGTTTGTTTTCTTCTCCCTCAGTTCGCTGATATTGTGAACATCACAGGAAAAGTGCTGATAAATGATTGTGAGCTGGCCTGATTTTCTACCCATTTGTTGTCAGATGTATTCAGATGGTGCTTTTATTTAAAAAAAAAGAGTTATAGAAAAAGTAAAGAAAATAAAGCTACTTAGTAAAAAAAAAAGTTATTTTAATTAAATTATTCATGCGTTAGTGTCTAAGATGAGTGTATTGATGTATTAGAAAGCACCAAGAAGTGAGATTATTAGTAAGAATAGAGAGTAGCAGTTACTTGAAATATCATAAACAAATTTTATAATATTGGAAATATTGTTCACTACAAAACTGTGGTAACAGAAGCCTTAATAGACACTTGCTTTGGTTGACTCAGAAGTTGGTTTGAGAATAAATCACCCATGTTGTCAGTACTCACTGTCCTAGCAGTTAAACACCACACTAACTTTAATTATTCCCATTCCAGATGTGTCCTCGGTTTAGTAATTTGGTGAATTTCAATAGATTCTCATCCAGATGCATATTTCTTTTTTTAATTCCCATGTTGACGATGACAGATGTTACAAGATATTACAAAGCCCTTATGTGCTCATTGTAAATGCATTATAGGCTTTCATGAAGCTCATATTTATACATTTTAAGCCCAACATTTTCCATCAGGCATCGCTGATATAATGTTATTATAGCTCTTCAAACGTTTTTGGTCTTTGCAATGTTTGGAGGAAGGCGCATGCACAGGATGGGAAGCATGATGGAGAAAACCACACTGTCTCTAAAGACTGATTAAAGTATCACTTTACCAACCATAGCATACCACAACAGAGAACCAGTGTTCCTACAAAACATAACAGAAGACACAAAACATCCATGTCAGCTTATTGATGAAAGAGGATTAGATTTTAAAGTTGAGGTATATTTATTTTTACTTGGATTCGATTTGTTGCAGTTGTGCTTTTACAAATCTGGAAAGAATGTTTCATTAGACTAGATATGAGGAGACTGGGCGCTTGATGCTCGAGCTTCACGAGGACACGGGCGAGCGTTTTTCTTCAGAAAGATATTTTGCCATAAAAATGTAAGCTGGATTCGATTATGAGCACAGATAATCACTTGGTTGGGTTAAGAGGAGCACATCCAGAAAGAGGTTCAGCCCTTTAGTGGTTGAAATGGGAACGTTTCCCCTCCCTCATCAGTTTGTGAGTTGGTTCTGCAGCGTCAGCAGTCAGCACACAAAAACGGAATTCAGTAAAAGCTCTCTCTCCCTCTGCTCTCTGGGAGTTTTTTTCCCCAACAGCTTGCTCCCATCCCCCCTTTCCCCCTCATGAACTGACATGCTGGAAGAAACATATGCTACTATTCCCACTTCCTGACAGCTTGTGCTGCTTGAATAGGATCTTGCTCAGGGAGGAAGCAGTTGTCTGGAAAGTGTGGAGGGATTAGGGCCATGAGAAACCTCAGTCAGTTGTTAGCATATAATGTCAAATGTGAAATTACTTTTGATTGTGAATTAAGCATACACTCTGAGATTTTTCAAAGTGTTCTTTGAGGCATGAAGAAGAAAGAAAATTGCTCACTGCCGAATTTGCTTACTTTTACAACAGATGTGTAGGGATGACACACTTTTTACTCAATGAGTATAAACACTGGATTTATGATTCACAGTACTGTATTGCTTTATTGAGCCCATAGCCCAATATCCAGTTATCGAATTAGTATGTTTTAGTGAAGTCTAAAAGAAGCACTTTACACAGGCTGACTGAAGCAGAAGCACAGTGTAGACGACTGCATTGATCTGGATACAAAAGGCTGAAGTAAGTCTGGTTTATGCAGCCTATCAGGGTCATTCCTCGTCACCTATCCGTCATACGAGACCTATACAAACTCATCAGTGGTTTAACTATCTGTTATCTGAAAAGTATATCTTTCAAGGAATTGGCTATATAGCTTGCCTTTTAGGATGTCTTCTTCTTCCATGCATGCTGTCTAACCTGTTTGCCTGAGCTGTGTTTGACTTCCTAGCTGTGATGCTGTCAATGATTTAGCACATTTGGAAAATACTAAATTCTAAGAGGACATTAGCAGTCTTCTAATGTTTTAAGATGATAACCATACCCTAACTCTATGTTTTGGAGAAAGGCCAAATGGACTAGTTTTTTAAATGTGTTTCAGGATTATTATTTGTCTCCATTCTGATTGTTAAAACTTGGGAAAAACGTTTAATAAAAAAAAAAAAAAAAGACTTTTAAATTGCCTAAGGTTAGCATTAAGGTTAAGGTCTGTCTTTGTTCCCTTTTAAAGTCTACATTTACAGTTTTGTGTTCTTGCTCTTTATTAGCTTGTTAAACATCATACTTTCTTATACATACCAAGTATAAATTCATCCTTTACATAATGAATGATCTGCGAGGAACCTGTAGACTGACTGCCCACGCTCAATACAGAACAAATGGGTATTTGAATTCTGATATTTCTTTAGGTTATTTAACCACCTCATCAAACGCCCCTTGGAGTCCTTGCTCTTGATGTCACTGAATGTTTTCAGAAGAAGGCAAAACGTTTCATACTGACCACAGTGCTGGATCTTATTACGCTTTAAAATACCAGTCAGAACATTCATAAATGTTGTAATGTGTATATAGTATATAGAATAGTTTGTGTTACAGGTTTCACGTTACTTGATATTGCTGTCTTGGCACAATGACAGGCGCCTCTTTATTAGCTGCATGTTCACCAGGAGCTTGTTGGTCTTGTCAGTAGCCACTGGTGAGATGAGACTTTCTCCAGCTGTGTGAGCAGCTTGGCTCCAGCTCCTATGTGTTGCTCAAATGTCTGATTCCCTTATGCCACCATAGTTGCTGCGGCTGACTGGAGATGTTAGCGCTACGGATTAGTAGTCACAATGTTTTGTTTTTTTTCTTTGTCTTTCATTTATTATTGTTTTCATATAAATGTTTCTCTTCACAGTCACTGGTATACACATTTACACCTTCAAGCTGCCAGCTACAACCACAGTCTTCCTGTTGTCCACTAAAGACTTTGAGACTGGGCGCTTTAGCTCAGCGCCGGTGGTAATGAGGCATGTCGATGCTTTTTCCCTAGAGGAATCAAACTAGCAACTTTGCTGACAGCATTGACTTTGTACTTGTTACAGCTCATAGGAATATATAGAGCTAAGAGCAGTTGCACAGGTGCTGAATAAAGGGGGAAAAAATACATTTCCCAGACCTTTACACTGTGCATTGCCATTTAATTAGCAAGAAGTCCATGAGAGAAAATCTTCAGCTGTTTAAACCCATAACATCCGTTGTAAATCAATTCAACAACTTTCTTGGTGATGTCCAAGCTTCTTTAGCTGCTTCCACTCCATATTGTGCTCTTTACTAACTGTAAGCATTCTGTTTTTGAAGATGGTTCTCTGCTTTTCTGTTGCAGTAGTCATGATTTGCGGGTTTTGTTTTTTTTTTGGGAATTCCAGGTCTCTCCCTAGTCTGCTCCAAGCTTCAGCTTGGAGAGCTCAACCGCCACAATTGATCCCAGCAGCTGGAGCGGCAGCGAGAGCCCTGCCGAGGACATGGAGAGGATGAGCGACTCGGCAGACAAGCCTGTGGACAATGATGCAGAGGGGGTGTGGAGCCCTGACATTGAACAGAGCTTCCAGGAGGCCCTGGCCATCTATCCTCCTTGTGGGCGCAGGAAAATCATCCTCTCTGATGAGGGAAAGATGTATGGTGAGTAAAAGTTGTTGCATGTGTAAGTGTGAGTTTTCACATTCATTATCTCTGCTGCTTTTATTTGCTTTTGGAGGTTTTGAGGACTATAGACTTGCTCATAAACCTTATCAAGACCAGCCTGTTGAGTGTTTGTATGGATCAGTTGTCAGTAAGGGTATTTTCCAAACTGCTGCTCCTTTAAAAAGGAAAGACATGCTTCAGTTATGGCTGTGCCGAGCAAAGTAAGACTGATGGTGACTATGACCATGGAGCTGTCACTCTGGTTCACAGAAGTGCAAGTTTATAAGTAAAGCAGCATGAACTATTAGTCAGTAGCAGATGGTACTACGGCTGCCACCAGCTGTGCCCCCTCTCCTCCCACCACTCCCCCCCTGTTCCTGGCTGGCCTGGGTGATGTCATGGAAAGAGGGAATATTTTCTCTCTGCGGTGTTGGACCGTCTCACAGCCTGTCAGTGTCAAGTGAAAGCAGAAAGCTCCTCTGAGCATTGGGTTGCAGCTGTCATGTGACCCCTCCGGCCAAACAAAATGTAAATTCTAGGAGTTGCAGCGAATCCCCTCAGTTGCCACTACAAAGATGTGGGCTCAAACAACGGGATCCTCCCCACTGTCTCTCCCTCCAAATCCCTGGTCCCCACACAGAGCGAGGCTGCCAGAGAAGCTGCCCCTCTGCTGTGGATTAAAGCATGAAAAATTATTTTTCTAGAGTTATAAATGAGCAATGCTAAGTGTAAGCCTCTTTTCGATTCAGTTGACATTCTCAGTATTATAAAAATGTTTTTCTGAAATGTTTTCAGATTGTGGTATTTTTGATTTCTTCTTTTTGACAAGTTTTAATTTTTAATTTTCATTTCCTGTGTCAATTGCTTAATTACAAAATCTTATATGTAAGTTGTGCCAATTAATAAAATTATTTGCACTGGTATGGATTTACCACAAACCGTCGCAAAATGCCGCTGCCCATAGCATGTTTTCTTTTTACATTTCCCAACAAGGCTATTGTCTAAGATAGATTACGAAACCCCAGCAACAAATCCAAACAAATGTTTTGCTATTGTGGTGTTGAACCCACCTTAAAATCTGCTGAAGAGGCGACTGCAGGGTTGAATAGCGGTTGGGCCTGCCAGATGTGCTCCATATCTGGTTACAGATGGCTCGTCAGCAGCTGAGTGTTTGGGCTGTGCCCTGGTCTAACTGAATGAGAACTGTTTGTCACAGAAGTAAAATGATTTTCATGTGTAGATGCTGAAAAGGTTTGGCAGGGACGGCTACTACTGCATGATAATGTTGCAGAATTGTAGCAAAAAAGGAGCTAAATGCTTCTGTTCAGTTTTGGGGGGAAATGTTTTAATTTTTTTAATAATTGAAGATGCAGTACCTGAAAAATATGATGTTGGTGATATCTTTCTGCCGATTTCACTGGGGAGCACACTGCTGCTGGTCTTTTGTACTGGTGCTTTCTCAAGTGGCAATGCTTGTTCTTCAGCCCTTCAATGTGTTGCTGCTTTTTAATGCCAATGTGACTTTCCTAAAACCACTGTGGGTTTCACTTAAAGACAAAAAAGAAAATAGTTTTAATTTGAATAGGTTGCAGGAGTTCATTACTTTCATAACAATCTTTAGTGTTTCCCACAGACTTCGATTTGCAGCGTGGGCGTGCGTGCACGAGCGAGTGCGGGTGAACCAGCTGGTGGTTAAAGCATGAAACATGAGGCTAGCAGGTTAGCGAGGTTTGAAGTTTTTAAAATGAGAGTAACAGATTGTCCACTATTATGTTGATCATGGATGGAGATCTTTTGAACATGAAATAAAAAAAAATAAAAAAAAGTTAACAGTTATTCTTGTTTGTCTGTTAATATGGATTCCTTGCGGGCCACCCAAGACAGAATCTATGTATAGGAAAGGCTATTGTTGACTTTTCCAAATCAGTCAAGGATCAGTAACGGTTATATAGTAATGCCTGTCACAATAATTGTCTTTATTTACCAGTCATTCATTTTCTTGCCCGCTTATCCAATTCACGGCTGTCCTAGCTGTCATGGGGTGTGACAGGTAGGGTACACCCTGATCAAGTCTACTGCAGGGGAAACGCAGACAACAGTTCATCCTCAAATGTACACAGTGCCATGAAAAAGCGTTTGCCATTCTGATTTTTTGCATATTAGCCATACATTTCTGATCATCAAACAAAATGTAATATTGGACAAAATGAAGTTTTCAATTATTATTTATTATTTTTTTAGACAAAAAAGAGAGAAAAAAGAGAAATCTACCCGGTCCTATGTGGGGGGAGGGAGTAATTCCCCCCCCCCCCATGTTAAATCATAAATTATCTTTGATAAATGCCAGGCCAGATGAATCAAGAAATCACTTAAATAGAACCTTTCAGACAAAGTGAAGTAGGCTGAAAGATCAATTATGTAAAACCTAAGACAACAAATACTTTTAACAGCACTGTACTTACCCACTTGTGAAGGGAAGCCGGAGTACCTGTAAGAAATAAAAACACGATGACACAGGCAGAACATGTGGACTCTACACAAAAAGGCCCCGACTGGCCAGTAGTTTCGAACGGAGGATTGTTTTCTTCTTAAGCTAATCGCTAACCTCTGTACAGACTTATTACAGACCTATTTATTGTACCCTGTATGGACATGGCCGTAATGTTTTCCTTTGTGTTTACAAGCATGTTTATCTAGATAAGAATGTCATGAGTAATTCAGGCAACAAATATTTTACCCACCGTAGCAGGGTTTGGGTGTAGTGAGCCTAAGCCAAATGAACTCTCTCATACATGCATAGAAGAGAAAGAACACACACAGTGACAGTAGTCCAGGTGAAGTGATTGGTAATATATTATTTGAGGTTAATGGGCATTTTTCACAATGACTGTATAATTACGGTCGGGAAGTTTTGAAGACTAGGCCTGAGTACACTTGGTCCCACTCCAGAGCTCTCTAAGAAGCATTCTGGGTGAAAGCTTAATGAAAAAGAAGAGCTCATTAAGGGTCTATGAGGTAATGTTTCTGTTTGCTGTGTGGCTTTTTTTTTTTTTTAAGCACGATTGTGCAAAAACTGATTTTCATGGATCTTGTTGGCGAGGTGGAAAATGGGGAAAGGAAGAATCCAAAATTTGATATGGATCGAGGCATGGATTCGTGCAACACATGTCCAGTTTTATGAATGAACTGATGTTAGCAATGCTCAAAACCTTTTGGATGTATGTAACTAAACAGTCATTTCTACCATTAGCTGTACAGCTAACCAACAATGGATAGTGCAGCTCGTTGCCAAATCAACAGGTCAGGTGTTACCCATGCCCTGTTTGTTTTTTCATTGTTTAATGATAGAACTGTGAAACTAATATTAACTCTGAAGGAACCCAACCATGGCAGCTGTGTGTGGACTGCTACCACTTCTGGTTTAAATTATGTCATTATTCCCCAGGACCTTATCAAGTCCTGCGATCCACACCTTTACCCGTGGCAGAATCAGTACACACTGTACACCTGTCCTGCTCACTGTGGTGTAGAGGTGTATGGCATGTGCTGTTGTTTTGGGGGAAAAAAAAGTTTTTTTGTATCTAGAGAAGTCAACTGAGAGGAAGCAATCAAAATCCAAACTGCTGAGTTTGAATGTTATACCTTTGAATGTAATTTTTGTGCAAAATTCCTCAGATTTTCCATTTATAGTCTTTGCTAAGAGTACGCCCTTTTGGAATACCATCAAAGACAAGTGACCAATGAAGCGGTCCTCTGTGCTGCTGCTAGGGATTGATTCATGTTAAACGTCCAGTGATTTGTCTTTTAAAAGGGGAGAGGCTAATATGATGCTGTCGAAGACCAAGAGAAACGCAGACAGGCTCTACACAAATGCTCTCATGGCATCTTGGATGAAAGCTGGCTACAAGGAGACAGGTATTTTGTAGTTAAGAATCCCTGGGGATGGCATAGTGTTCCATGCACAGAGCTCATCACAAGAGGAGCTGCCCCGAGTGCCCTTAAGCCCTTTGTTATCTTGGGGTAGAGTGTAGTTAATTAGCAACAGTCTCTATAGCAACTGTGTTGCGGTACAAAACAATTTCTAATTTCTGCTTCCTAGCTTATTGTGATGTTTACCTGAAGTGTTTCGGATGTGCTGAGACTAGTGTTGGCTGGCACTGTGCCTATTCTCAGTGGCTAATTGTGGCAGCAACAGGAGATGCTACATCTGCATAGGCTGCATCGCCGGCATTTGCCATGTCTTCAGACTTTGGCGAATATTTTTAACAACAAAGGGAAATGGAGGGCATTGGCCCTTACCCAAAGGCTTACGACTCTATACTTGTGTAATTCACCTGCTGTGCTAGGCTGCATTCATTTACCCCAGAAATAGAGTTGATAAATGAAACAACACGCTTCACTCAAATTGTATGTTTATTCATTGAGTTATGTATTTGCACTACCCAGCAAGCTAAATGACAATGGTGAATTTTTCTCAGTTACTGTTTGGGGAAAAGAAAATAAAGACCTGAATTTTATTCTACCTACTGACAAATAAATATGCAAATACATACTCTACTTGTAGGCTGTACAACACCTAAATATATATATATTTATATTATTACTGGTCCTTCACAGTTGAATACATTGTTATAGCTTAAAGGCTTTTTGATGGAGACTTAATTACTTACCTTGGAGATTTGGACTACTCCCTATGCTTGTATTATTGCGTCTTGCTGGTTTTGATAAACAGTAGCAGCAATAATACCATTATTTATTTTTCTAAAAATAGCAAACACAGTCTGTAAATGACCAAAAACCATACGTTGTAATGTTCTCACTGTAGGTGGGCTGCAGGACACGGTGCCTCCATCTGCATGTGTTACTTGATGTAAAGCTTTTCCTATTACCATTCTACTGTTTGCTCTGACATCTCGTCAGTGATCCAGCCCAGACCCCTCCTGTGGGAACTAAGTGGCACTTGGTTTGCAGGGATGCCAAGGATGAGTTAGATATAA